ACTGATAATATTAGACAATACACATGAATAAAGAAAATAAATATATAACCTCACATAACAATGTCATACCGATATCTTTTTCTCTCACCAATCATCCGGAGCATCTACTGTGTTCTTTTCATGATTCCATCCCAGCCCAGTCTCACTCAGAATCAATCTATTCAGTCTTTCCATTCCTTTCTCAAATTATCCCATTTGTTTTTGAATTGTTGCTTATCATATTTTCTTCCAATCTTACTATTGAAGGTAGTTTCTATATTTATCCAGCCTGCTTTGCTAAAGCTACCACCATTTCTCTGCTTCTTGTGCACTTGGTCCAAGCATAAGTCAATAAAAATCTTAGTGCTCCTCATATCCCATGAGGCTTTCAATTTATCCTTAGTCATTGTACTATATAAAAATCAATTTCAGCATATCACAAATCAAAAATTATCCAACAACCATATAGTAAGCATGTTGAGGATTATCAAAAAAATCATCCGAAAACATATATGAAAATCTGAAAACATATATGAAAGATGAATTTGACAAACATAAAAACATGAAGGCTCAGTATTATCAACAGTTCAGTTCACAAAAATAAAAAAATAAAAAAGGCCAAATATTCTGTTCATCATCTCCTGTCCAATTTTTCTCCATTTTTGTTTCATCATCTCCTTAATAGAAAGCATATTCTACAGAGGTCAGAAGTCAAAGATTCAAAAATATAAAAAAACATAGACACAGAGAAATCGTATGTACAGGTCAGAGGAGATAAAAAGAGCACAACAAAAATCATACCTTGCAGAGGATATGAAAGAACACCTAAAATAGGGGAGGATAGACCGGATGTAGGAGGTAGAGTCAAAGTTCGACAGAGAACCACTGGAGGAAGGAGATCGAAGCTGGAGGGAGGAGATCGACGATGAAGAACGAGAGTGAGGAAGGAGTCGAACTTGGATAAAAGCACTAAAGGAAGGCCGTTCACATCAAACTACAGTGAAGAAGATGCTCTGCAGGCCGCCACTCATGAGACGCCACTCACGATCTGGAGATCTTGTCCAGATCGAGGATGAAGAACGATCGAGGATGAAAAATGAGGGTAAGGAAGGAGCTCGAACTTGGACAAAAGGACCAAAGAAAGTCCGTTCACATCAAACTGCAGTAAAGAAGATGCTCTGCAGGCTGCCACTCATGATCTGGAGATCTTGTCCAGATCAAGGATGAAGAACGAGGGTAAGGAAGGAGCTCAAACTTGGACAAAAGCATCGAAGAAAGGCCGTTCATATCAAACTATAGTAAAGAAGAAGCTCTACAAGCCGCCACTCATGAGATGCCATTATTCACGATCTGGAGCTCTGAGGGAGAAGATGAAGAAGTTTTGCAGTTCAAAAGCTCAGGGTTTAGGAGTCAAGAAGATCACGTGAGGGTTAGAGAAGGTTAGGAAAGAGAGTTTAATTTTTATCTACCATCAGACTACAATAAATGCTAACGGTCATAATTGATTTTCAGAACAAAAATTTGCTTTACTGAAATGGAGTTTGGGAAGTTAAATGGAATTTTAGAAACGTGTGGTGTTTGGGTAAAAATTATGAAAACCATGATTTTATGGCTAAAATTGATTTTTCAGGTGTTTCCAAACAAGCTCTAACTATGCTCTATTTCCACCCCTACCTCTAAACCCTCCTCACTACTATCGGTAGCTTCTTTGTGTCCCCCTCCTCTTCGCCGCCATCATCCTCACCTGTAAAAGCAACCACCAAAACCCATCCACGGCATAACTCGACATCCGTGACTCCCTCAACTTGTATTAAACTAAGATTGACTGATCAACCCTTTCTTTTTGCTCTGATTCTTCCTAATTCACTTGGTTCCTCACTGTTTTTAATTCACCGAAGTTAATTTTCACTTGCTTCAAACAGTGAACCATAGGGGACGAAGATAGTTGCACTACCCAACTCATTGACGGCGACGGCATGTTTAGTGTTACAGGGTTGGATGCTTTTATGAGGAAAGTGAAGGTTGCTGACTGTGGCCTTTTCTATGCGGTAGTCGCTATTATGGGTCACCGAAGTAGCAGAGAGTGGCCAAGTGCATTGATAAGAGTTCGTGAACTTTGAAATTGATTATTGGTCATTTAGATTTAGCTCAATTAAGTTAGTTCTTCCTAGTGTTTTGAGTTGGATTCTGGAATCTTGGCGAGCTTGAATTAATGGCTTTAAGCACATATGTTTTTTTGTCTTTCTTCTACTCATATCTAAAAAATTTTGTCTGCATAACTTGTTAATTCCTCTACCTGAATTGTTAATCATTTAACTTTACTTATTAAATTTATAATTTCCTCAACTTAATTATATTACTTGTTAATTGTTAATCACATAATTTTATTTGTTAATTTCTTAACATGTTAATCACTTAATTTTACTTGTTAGATACATCATCAATTGAATTATGTTATTTATTAATTGCGTGACTTTACTTGTTAATTTCTAACATGACTTGTTAAATTTGTAAACTCTCTTAACTAAACTGCATTACTTGTTAATCACATAATTTTACCTGTTAATTTCTTAATGTGATTTGTTAATCACTTAACTTTACTTGTTAAATTTATGACTCCTTTAGCTGGATTATATTATTTATTTATCACATAATTTTATTTGTTAATTCTACAATAGGACTTGTTAATCACTAAACTTTTAATGAATTTTAATATTTTATTGAATTTATTAGTGTTTTTAATATAATTGAAAATTATTTATTAGCAAAAATATGATTGAGTGAATGATTAAGTGTGAGAATGGACATGGAAACATAATTAAAAATTAGTTGATCAATTATGAGTTTTATACATATAGGGAGGCTTAATTTATGGGAGCCCAAAGGTAAAAATTTTAAAGCCCAGGTCTAAGAAAGTAAATCTAAAAAGAAAATTTACACATGTTATGTTCACTGTAGTAAAAATGCATTTTGCTATAGCGAGGAGAAAATTTTAATAAAATGCACAATTTTGATCTTCAATAAATTTTAGGATTTAGGGACCTCTCTTAATCTAGGGTAGCTATGATTGATTCTTGAATTAGAGCATATTTAAACTATTTATTTGAGCTTAACGTTAGTTTTGTTTTCTTAATCTTATACTTTTTTGTCTACTTAATGTTTAGCCATCATTGAGAGGGAATTTGAAGGTTTAGTTTTGCCTTGGAAGAAGAAAATTTAAATTAGATCATTAGATTGAGTAATGTAGAATTAGAGTTCATTTTAATTTGCCGACAGGATAAGAATATACTTATTGAACCCATATAATCACATGAGAATGAATTTGTACCTTTTGCCTTGTGGATATTTGTGTTAAGAATAGCATATTAATTAAATAGAGAGGCATAATTAATAGAAAGACAATTATTCCTATTAATACTCTAAATTAACAAAATAATATTAAGTGAATTTTAGATAATTACCTGTTTTGTAAATTGAAAAAGAAGTTAGCCACTTTAAGTTGCCTGCATTATTTGTGATTGTCGAAACTTTAATTTTAATACATTTATATAATTTTTATTTTTATTTTGTAATATCAAATCCAAATTTTATTTTACTCAACTTAAATTAAAATTAAAAATTTATTACCTAATTACCCATTAACTTAATTTTTTATGAGAACGATCTTAATTTATTATATACTATTTTTGTTAGAGCTGTCAATTAGGGCCGGCCCTTGAAGGGTCAGGGCCTAAACGGGCTGGCCTTAATAAGCCCGATTACATGTCAGGGTTCCATTTTTTAAGGCCCGGCCCTAGCCCTCAGGGCCTCGGCCCTATTTTTTTAAAATTATTTTTTTAATTAAAAATTATAAAATATATATTTATAATTATAAAAAAAGTTATTATTCATAAAATTAAGTTTAAGAAAATAAATTTAAATTAATTTACACTACAACAATAAAGAAAACTAAAATATTTAGGTCTAATATCAAATAGCAACATCAAAGTGAATACCAATAAAAATTAAACTTAACTAATATTATCATAATAAATAAATAAGGGATGGATGAATGCATTTAATATGTTCATTTCTTTGAATTATGTATTTAATCTTTTATTTTTTATATTATAATTTAAAAAAATTATAAACGGGCCTAAAAGGGCCGGCCCTAGCCCTTTTAGGCCCGATTTACATTTTTAAAGATAAAATGAAAGCCCGGCCCTCAATTTTTTCGGGCCTAAAAGGACCGACCCTACGGGCTCGGCCCTAATCGACGGCTCTAATTTTTGTGACTCGTACACTTGTAGAACTCGTTACATATTTGTGTACATTAATTTTATTTGTTAAATCCATAACCTCTCCAATTCAACTATATTTTTTATTAATTACATAACTTTACTTATTAATTTTATATTAAGATTTATTAACTATTTAACTTGCTAACCTATAACTCCTTGAACTTAACTACATTATTTGTTTGTTTTCCAACTTTAGTTGTTTACTTTGCATCACTTGTTAACAACAATATTTTTGTGTTTAAAAGGGTATTTGGGTCTTTTGATTGAGATTAATTTCATTTCAATTCTGCTGGATTGAAGTAAAATTTTAAATTTTAATGGATTTCATTTGTGATTATGTCACAATTGATCCTGTATTGAATGTATGCTAGTGCTAGTTAAAATACTAACAAAGTATATGTACGAATGACAACCCATGTACTGGATTTAATTAAAAGAAAGTAAGAAACAAGACAGTTTACATGCAAAAGTCAATAGGAATCATTCTATCTTTTTGTCCATTTTTTTTCTTTAAATTGATTACATACGAATCAGCAATGGAAACTTGGAAGCAAATTAATTTTATGCTAAGTTAGATCAGATATCTTTGCCTATATTCTACTAGGCCATTCATTGAGAGCAATTGCAATATGCCATAACAATAGGCGTTTAAAGGAAGAGGAAAGAAAAAGAAGGGAAAATAAAGTACCATCAAGCGCATGCAGTGTATATGCAATAGGCCATAATTTAGTTTTCTTAGTCTGAGGATCCCAAATGCGTGGATTTAAATATTTATCATTGCATGCATATACACTACATGACACCAAAACCATTTAACCAATAACAAGACCAGAAGACGACCTCAGACTGGATTTATTGAACAACCACAAGCACGCAGCTTTTTGGTATTTGCCACCAAGAAGCTGGCACCGAAGACAAAAAGGAGTAGAATCAGCCCAAAAATAGAAAGCAGCCTTCACGTCAACAATTCCCTATACAATTCATGTTAGTCATGAGAAAAAAAAAAAAAAAAAACCAAGTAGCTTATAGAACCAAACCCAGTAAGGACGACACTTTATGGATCCTCATACACACCCATAAAGATTCTTTTTTGGTCCACGATCACAGCTGAAGTAGAGGCAATGCCATTATAACCCCAAAAATGGAGAGGAGCAACAACATCATCCATGTGGGTAAAGATTGCTTTCTGTTATTCCTCACCTCTTTCAATTCATCTACTGCTTTCGTGTCTTCTCCTGTAGACTCTCTAACTTTTCTCAACATGGGCCTTGAACTTTTGTCCCGAGATGCCACCTCAGATGCTGTTTTTTCAGAGGCAGCTTGCTCGGAAAGCCGCTGCTGGTTGTACTTATCAACATACTCAGGGAACATTTTCCTGAATGTTGCACTGTATGCAAAATAGTCAGATTCCGGGTGGGAAAAAACGGAGTTATAGCAATTAAATGGACCTTGCTCACTTTCTGTCTTGAATATCTGGTACAATACAATAAACTTACTTCTTGCAATTGAAAGCAAGGGAAGATTTTGCCAAGCGTTGCTTCTCTTCAGTAGTAGTGCTCACACTGCCAGTAGTTGGACTGCTGTCCATCTGCAAAAGAGAAGAGTTAAATGCCCTCAAGAAGGTATTAGATACGTGACAAATCATCAAGTATGAATTATTCAAATACATACACACATATAAAAACACATTCACAGAGAGAGAGAGAGAGAGAGAGAGAGCTAGCTTTGGTTCAGTGGAGGCTTGTGTGCCAGTGAAATGATGGAAGTGAAAGTGAATCCGCGAGCGGAAAAGAAACCATAGAGCATGGAAGATAGTTGGATTCTAATTAATATGCAAAGCCATGACATACTCACCATGAAGGATAGAAGCCCCGTAAGTATACTGCATTCAGAAATTGGAAGAATCAGTTAAAAACTAAAAGTAGAAACCTGCGTCAGCTATACTTCTAAGAAGATAATTACAGGTGAACAGGCATAAAACCTGCGTCAGTCATTTAAGAAAAAAACACAGACAAAATCACATAAAGGAACTCCATGTAACTAATCAGTCTGACCTTGATACGGACCACATAGGATTCCAACTTTCTGGATGAACTGCAAAAGCAGCATAATCCACACATTCATTAAATTGGAAGAATATGGAAACCCCACAAAATTATTTGACTTGGGCTATGCTAGGCACCATGATAGAAAGGCAATAGCAGAAAAGGAGACATGAATGCTTATTTTCCGACGTCTTTTATTACTCAATCAACAATACCTATCCATTTTCCTTACAAATTTATGCAGAGGAATAAGAATAATTTCCCATCACTCTCGTTCATTTTCTATTTCCTTGCCTAAATTTTTGTGAACCAAACATAGACTTGACTCAACAGATAAAAGAACTTACAATCACTCATGGACAAGCAGATCTTCTTCTGCGTAATGAAGCGTCCATTAGGTGTAGTCATGCTACATGGTTAACCATATACAAGTTAGAAAATATGCCAATAAACCGGATAAGCAGAAGCAAAAAATGAAAACTGAGTACTATAGAAACAAAAAAATCACCTGATTCCAGGAGGTTTATATGGATATTCAGGAGGAAACTTGATTTTGCCATAATAATATCCACCTGATAATAAGACCAAAATTGAGCATAAATTATAAACCATGACATTCACCATCACGAAGCACCAAAATAAATCTGCAAAAAAAAAAAAAATTGAAGCGGCAATTATCAAAATTTTCCAACTTGACATACCTGCAAAAGGTGTTCCTTCACTTCCTTCCAACACATAATCTGAGACATTTATACAGAATAAAATCAATATCAACCACTTTAACAAACAACTTAAAATTAACTAGCTGATAGCACAATGACCGAGGGCACAGACATGTTATGAGACTAAGCCCATTCATAATCATATGTGCGAGGACTTTGGAAGTAAAAATAAATGGTATTTTATGATATCTAGCTTGGCATGTTAAGTGGGAAAGTACTCTTTATTTATCTACATAGCACATTTTGAAAATATATTCTCACAAGAAAAATGGCTAGCTTTGACTAAGCAGTTCCTTTCAAACTAAAACTGGATGCTTTTTGCCAATAAAAAAGCAATCCTCACGAATGATGGTCATGAACAACAAACAGAAATTTACTTTCTTCCCTCTAAGTATTATCCAGGCCAAATAGAGATCTGCATGTCTTGCTTAAAAACAGAAAAAGCATCATAACTGAATTAGCCATAAATATGTAGATCTAAAATATTGCATGAACAAACTACCTGGATTGAGTTCCATAATAGCAGCATATCTTACAAACTAGATTATTTATCGGTAGTGGTACTCTCTCATATAATCATATTTCAATTAGCTCCACTTCTTTACAGCTACCAGTTCCAATATATCCAAGCATCTCTTTGTTTTTCTTCTCTATCTCTGTTTTTATTCCTTTATAGTTTTTAGTAGAACTTGTCCACTATATCTTATTCTTATCTTTGAAAAACTTTGGCTGAATCATGTCATCTCATTTTAATCCTGTTCTCATTGAATAATTATTTTTATTAATACTTTTGTAATTACTTAATGTGAACTACAAATATCGGGCAAGTGGCTGAGAACTTGACATCCATCACCAAGCTAACATGTTTCAATGCAAAGCCAAAAAATTGATATACGCAAATCACAGGCACACTACAATTTTTTCTTACTTTTTTGACATAAATTCAACATAAAATAGCTTATGAAAATAAAACAGTGTAAGGTAATCTTACGCCACTCAAGTATATCATTAGGTGATGGACGAGCAACAACATGGGGCACTGGTTCCTGCAAATTCATGATAACAATTAAGCATTATCCAGTCGATATAACAAAAATAACAACATACTTGAAAAAGAAAACTTTATGTCAATGCATTATAACAGTCAATGGAACTTCACCATGTTAAATTGTATAGCTTAGACTAATAACGGATGCAAACAATTAGTCAGAAAATCATACGCATTGCATAAACTTCAGATATGCAACAAAATTAGTTGATGTGTGCCCGGTACTAAGAAATTTACTCACAGCATTCTACCGGCTACTATACCAAATCACTACACTCAATGGACGGAGGGAGGGAGGGAGATGTCTGATGGAACCACAAAACAAGCAAAACTTCATAGCTATGAACCAAAAGTACCATGCAAGCACATGCATTACATCGAAATATAACTTAGGTAAGATGTTGTACTTTACAAAGAGCTCTATATTCCTTCTGAAGGCGCTTCATGCATGATTTCTCCGCCATTCAATGAATTTCAAACAGTATTGAGCAAAGCCCTACACTGTACTTTATTTCTTTGATCCCAACAATAATCTTCGCTTCCTGCTTAGCACTGATTAAGAATAAAAATATCAACGAAAAGATAGAAGATAAAATAGAGAAAATGATAATAAGAAATGTAAAAGCTCTCAATTTTTGTTAAATTATTGGTTTGGAATCAGAGAGTCAATTCAAAAACACTAACTCAGCCAAAGCTATGTAACTGTACACAAACCATGAGTTCTATAGGATGTTAGAGATGGGGCTTTTGAAGGCAAGAATGATTTTCCCCCCTTCTGCTAAACATTAAGTCCCTGGGAATACATATATGTCCTCGAAACAAGGTGTTACTCGGCTGGACTGCTCCTTCCCCAGCAGATCAGTTTGTGAGTATTCTGCCTACTTTGCCATCTTTTAGATTTACCCTTTAATTGTATTCCTTCGGTTTCCACAACTTAAATGCCTAATACTCAAGTACTTCCACCCGATCATCCAGATTCACAAACCAAAAAAAAAAAAAAAAACAAACAAACAAACAAAACAAAACAAAACAAAACAAAACAAAAATCAAAAAAAGGAGAAAATAAAAGGTAGGGCAAATTGATTGTGCGTATAACGAATTTCCTTGTATCCCGAAATTGGACCATGAATTCTACAAAATTTACCGCCCACGAATCAAAATTGCAAGATGAAACATTAAAGATGAGCCCCTAACTAGACTCCACCATTGATGACATGAAAAAGATGCGGGCAGCATAAAAGTCAAACGAACATAGACTAGTCCAAATCGATCGAAATCATTAGGACAATCAGCCCAGAGAGAAACCAAATCACAGATTATAATGAAAATTGGAAGCTTCAGGGAGGAAAAAGGAAATTGAATTAAAAATCACCTGAGATCTGTGTCTTGCAAATTCGACCTGGTTTCGATTCGAGGAAATAATTACTGGGAATTCTTGCGTTATTTGTTAATATATTATTTAATTATTTATTATCTTCCCCGTTTCGAAACGGAGCACCGAAAAGTTGTTGGTAACGTTCTAAAACGGTGGCGTTGAAAATTGGGAGAGAAGAGGGACGCAAGGCTGACCTGTGTCCACCGTTCAATTCAAGGCCCTGCCCTGCCTGCCCGAGCCAGTGTTTGTGCTTTGTACACACGGGGTCGGGTCGATAGTGGAGTGACTTCCTAACGAGAACGAACCGTCCTTTATATCTAAATTTAAAAGACCATTTTAGCCTTACGCCTTTGCATCCGAATCATAGTAAGGATTAAATGGATCCAGTTGGGAAAAGAAATAGATTAGAATGATCTACTTGCCAAAAAATAAGTTTTAATGGATCCGATCAGCCGGTCTGATTAAGGAAACCGTAATTATTAAATGATTTCTCATTTAATTTAAGAAAAAGTTAATCATTTTATGCTCATAATTTTAATTCGTTTACGATCTAGTCCCTCAAACTGTAGCTATTAACTATTTAATATGTTGATATTAACACTTCAGAATTCGGTTTTAAATCAATTGTAAAAAAGACCATATATTTCCTAAATGTGTAAAACCAACGAATTAAACAGTTAAAATTTGAAAGATTGAATTGTAACAAAATCAAAACTATAAGGATGAATGATTATTTTTCATTTAAATATTTAAAAAAATAAATATTTTCTCTATCCTTATAGATAAAAAGTCTTTTAAAATTCTTTTGTATCTCTAAATATAAAAGGTTGTTGATATATTTTTTAATAAATGAACTATTATATTCTTATTACCTTAAAGGAGTATTATTTATAAACTATTGATTTTCTACCAATATATTAGTTATATGTTGTCTTAAAAAAATCCATCAATCCAAAAAAAAAAATTGGTAAAATCGAAAAAATTATTTAAAAATCAATTTAAATGATTTGGCCCACTTATTGTTATTGTTCATACAATTCCCTAACACATTGATGAGTGCGTGAGGCGATTGGCACAACTCTAAAAAATGAGCAGAGAGCCAAAAGATGATTGGTGACTCCAATTAACTTAGCAATAAGTTCAGGCATGAGTGCTTTTTTCTTTAAATAATTGAATAATGTTAAACAGAAAACATGCTAATCAGATTAATATTTGTGTTAATAATCAATATGCGAAATTCAGGGTCTACTGACAGATGTCTTTTTTGTTAGGTGATTTAAGAGTTGTTAGCATGGATTTGACATGCAGAATTAAATAAATACGAATAACAAATACTTTTTAAAAATAAAAAATAATTTTGACTTGATTTTATTTAAAAAAAAACCACGCTTTTTTTTATTAAAAAAAAACATCTTTGGAATCAAACGATTATCATAATTGCCTTGACTAACTTGATTAACACCTTTGGCTTTTTTCAATAAAGTTAAAGATATAGTAACATCACGTGCCTGATCACATGACGTTTCTGAAATTTCTGTCACCATTTTCACCAAATCCGAAGGCTAGACAACGCAAAAAGCAGCCTGACACGGTCAAGAGTTGAGCACATGATCAAGCAGGCGTCAGATCTCAAACAGACTTCTGCCACATTAGGAAGAATATAAATCAGCACCAATCAATCCACTTGACCCTCATCAATATCTCATCATCAGCACAAGAGACTTGACTCACAATGCAGCAAGCAACAAAAATCATCAAACAAACCTGTAGGAACCAAAATCCCCTCCCACTTACCATGAAGTGCCCCTGGTCCACGCCACTGGCTGCTCTTGCTCTTACACTTTCACTGCTATTATCGGCCTGGTCTGCTGGAGTCAAATCTGAGGCTCTCCCATCTAAAGAAGTGAATTCTTTGCGACTAAGCAAGACTTCATCTTCTCAGGCTGCGCATAGGAAGAACCCTTCTTCAAGGCAGATGGTGAATTCATGTTTCAAAAGGATACCTCCAAGCAAATCAAATCCCACGCAGAATAAGTAACACTTAATACTTACTCATTTTCAAGCCTCAGTCATTCACAGCTATCCAATGATTGACAAGACTATCTCTGTTTCTTTGGCAGGTTTGATCCTCTCACAGATGGCGGATAGGACAGCACAATGGTCACAGAAATATTAAACACACCTGTTCTATTTCTTTCATTTCTTTTTCACTTTTCTATGTTTAAATTAAACATAATAGATGAGTGTACCTGGTGTTTTGCCTTCGAACTGTCAGCTATTATATACATGCACTGCAATCTGCACTGTCTTGAAAGTTCTGGTGGTTAAGAGTTGAGTTCTCTAATAAATATATAAATATATATATATATATATATATGAATCTATAATATTCGATTTGTATGAATAATGAGACTGATATCCCACTGTGCAGAATCCAACACGCACACAGCATGACACAGAAAAGTTTGGTAAATATTTGATCGTCTTAGCTTTACTAGCGTGAACGAAAAAGAATATAAAAGACGGATTTGGAAAATACTCTCAATGTTTTGCAACAACTACCTCTCTCAGCCTATGCATTCATGGTCTATACGGCTTAGCAAATGATACAAAATTTTATAAGCTGTGTAGCGTCATTCAAACGTTCATGCATCAGATCTTTAGAACTCTTTCACCATGCTTAATGCCACCCTATTCTGAAAAACCCTTTCTTCTGATCTATACCCCATCTTATGCCTTCAATTTCTTCTGAGAAGCTTCAGACACATCATTACCTCTTCCTCGTTTCTTCACAGATGGACCGTCTTTTTTCTCGTTAAAACTTCCCTTTTTCCTGTTAGAGCTAACATCATCTTTACCAATTTCAGCATCTCCCTTACTTTTCTGCTTTTCTGTTTTTGGTTTTCTCTTGGATCCAGACGTGCTCAAAAATGGAGTGGCAGAAGCTAAGGATTGACCAATCTCTTTATTCACTTCCTTAACAGTTTTAGGTTTTGAATTTTTATTTGGCGTGTTTGCAAGAAAGCCACTCATTTTGGTTGACTTGTTATCATCGGAAGCAAATGTAGCATAAAAATCTTTATAAGTTGATGCTTTCGATGCTTGTTTGTACCTCCAATGATCAGGTCTGGCAGCAAATCTGGGCAACACAACAAAAGCATAATTCAATAAGATTAACTTCGATAAAATTATAAAGCAAACAAATAAACAGTACCTAGGCTACAGATATCATCGCATGGAATGGCAGATGGTAATTCATAAGCAATGCAGCATGAACAGAAGGTAGCCATTGAAACTCATTATTGGACGTGTCTTGTTGAACTGGATTTTTCTTATCCACAGCAAGAGGACAAGCAGTCCTCGTACATTTTTATCAAGTTCTTCAATTATATAATTTTACAATAGGAACATGTTAAGCATGATTTTTGCAGGAAAGTGTATGTTTTTTACAATTCAACATTACATGATTGGGTTTTTTAAAAGTTTTTCAACACATGATTTTATTAGAGAATTTAATAGCAAAGATATTAGAATCTGCACCTAAATATAATCCTATTTTACATGAAATTTGATTGATGCACCCTATTTATAGAGACTAAGCAGTTTAAAAAAATATCCACAACAATGAATGGCAAGAAAATCTGGACCGAGAGAGAGAGAGAGAGAGAGAGAGAGAGAGCACGCAGCCAACAACTTACCCGTCAACATCTAGTTTCCTTAATATGTAAGGGCCCTGCTTTGTCTTGGAAAGCTCACTTTGCGCAGACAGCAATTCAGACACTATAGCCTCTCTTAGTGACAGATTACTGGCAGTGAAGCACGTTTCAACAGTAAAAGAACCACAATGGTGTAATGCAATCTCTCCAAAATGACCTCGTAGCCTTCAAAATAAATTACAAAAGATAAGGACAATGACAGAGAATCTAAATAAAGTAGACAATTTAAAATATATCACATATACTAAAGAAAGAAAGTAAATATGAGCAGAAACCCCCCTAAAATGTTAGGGCATGCAAAATAGACTCCTGCAATTCCCTTTTGGCAATTGATCGCTCTCAATCTTTGAAAATAATCGCTATTCATTTTTTTGTAGTCAATTGGTTTTCACTTTTCATCCCCATGGTTGAATTCTACCAATCCACCTATTTGTTCCATTCCAAAAGATTCCATACTTAGAAACAAAGATCTCTTTCGATATGGACGCAAAGTAACTATAGAGGCATTTTATCATTTCAACAAAGATAAGATCTTCCTGATGATATGACCAAATGGTTGGAAAACATACTTGTTAATCAATCTACGCTTCTGCTTTCCTGGAGCACCAGAACTTAGAAAGGCTTCAATAACCCGTGATCCCACTGAATTCTTGGTTGTTTCAAGTACGTGATCATCTTCCATAGTTGTGATACTGGCGATGTAAGGTTTTATATATTCCTGCCAATAAATTCAGTTCATCAGAATGTAGTAAATGAATGTAATTTTATTCATAATGTGAATAAACCAGTCTACAGAGAATTTCTAAATGAAAGTACCACTTTCTACAATTATATGCCAAAGATTAGCAATTTATACCGCATTGTAATAATAACTCTTCTATATGGCAAAATAAATTCACCGCAGAAATCACTCCATGCAAATGTACTTTAAGAATAAGCTATCTTAGAAAAATGGAAGATGTTCTCCCTCTCAAGGAGGAAAAATATACACGGAGGAGACTGGAAAACTTTAGAGACAAGGTATTTACATGCAGCAGGTTGAAATATTAAAAGGAATGAAAACTAAAGAGGAAAAACTAGCGTAAGAATTAGGAAGAGCAAATATCAAATGGAGGTGGAAGAAAGGGAAAGAGTATAAATTAACAAAAAAGATTGAGAGATAATGACAATCCTCACCCTGATTTTAGTTCATCAAATAGAAGTGTGAAGAAAAGCCTTTTCAGTTTTCTAAACCTGTACTTATACAAGAGTCTTAAACTGTATTTTTTTGGTTTTAATTGTCTCAAAGATTTTCATTTGTTAAAGTAACTTTTTATTCATAAGGAAGACAACAACATTGCATCATAAAAATTATGAAATATATAAAGCTAATACATAATTTGTCACTCATTAATTTCATCAACTATTCATTACATTATATCATATTTCTTACACTCATGCAAACTTTACTTTTCAAAGGGATTTACCAAATTTCTATTTTCTTTGCTCCATATATATATGTGCACAGGAAAAAAAAATGCTTCTACATTCGATTCTACTCTTTTGTTTGACTGAAACTTGAAAGAAAAAAAATCCAACACGTGCAAATTCAAAATGTTGCTTACACTTCTGAACCGGAATACTGTCTGCAGAATCAGAGAACCAATGACATGCATTTTAGCACCACTTTGCCAGTTCCAATGGGACTTGTCTTCACAAGTGAAATAGTTATCAAGGAATAGTAACCGTGGGATGAGCCACTTTATAGACCCATCCACTGGACACATTGTTTCAGCAAGGACTTGACAGGACTGTGAAAATGTAATAAAGATATTATGAAACAAAATTAAGAAACTACAATAGTTTCAGTGTGCTGGTAAATTTACTTTGATAGTTTGTTGCTGCAATTATTGCAGCAAATTGATGTAGGTTTTGAAAACACAAATTCAATCAGCAATTTAAACACATTAGTATCTGAAAATTCAGTCATTATTGAAAATGCAACTAATATACAAACCTTGTGTTCATGAATATGAAGCCTCTCGCTTGCAGCAATAAGTGCAGCAACAACTCCTGCCCTTCCCATTTTGAAAAGACTTTCGATATTTGGACCAAGTTCTTCCCAAATCACCTCCATCTAGCAAATATAACAAATAAAAAACTTACACATCTTTAAATAAACATCATAAAACATCTGCAAGAGGAAAATAAGAGAAAATAATTTGAAATGAATATGCTAAAGACAAATAACACAGAACCCTCTACAACACGTGGTGAACATATAATTGTACCGGAGTTCATAAAGCAAAGTGTCAACGCTGTTAAACTATAAAGTAGTTGGATGCATTACTTGATCATGATTTCTCACATGAGAAATCAATGCCTGAACAACGAAATTCCCACATTGGTGAGATGATAGCTCAAACAATGAATTCCTGAATACTTTAGCGAACATAACATTGTACAAGGCCTCAGGAGATACTTCCAAAACAACCTGCAAAAATTCATGAAATTCATTTAATTCCATTTCTCTTTATAAAAAAGTATAATTTGATACCTTCATAAGAAAATGCACAAGAATAAGACTGTTAGGCATATAACAGCCCATAAAGGTAAACATCATACAAATTATGTACAGCTTGCAAGCATAAAATATCAAATGTTCAGACCAGTCTACTGAGAGAAGTATTTTTGAGAGAAAAAATCATCAACAATACTAAATTTAATATATAAAATTATAGCACCAATAGTTCTGAGAAATTATGCCTATGGAAGTGTTAATTTCAAGATTAATGACGCCAGTTTGCTTTTATACAGACACCTATAACAAAATTGAACATATACTAATATATATAAAGTTTAAAAGGAACTTACGATTATATGAAGGTAAAAGTGAAAAATCATAAGCATAATATTCAACTAATTGCATTATTTTGTTTGCCCTGATATGTAAGTTGCTAACCTCCATAAGACGACTAGATGCAGGTTCTTTCAATAACTTCACAAGCTTTCGTACTCCTGCTGTTTCTATAAGATTGCCCTCTGCAATATTTTCTTCTTCACAGCCAATAAGGACAGGAATGACGTGAAACAGCTCTTCATCATTGCCTGCCAAGAGCTTTAAAGCAGTCTGCCAGAAAAGAAACAAAATCCTCAACGAGACAGAAGTAATTAAAAACGGAGGCAAAAAACCAAAAGGCAAAGACACTGTTAGCAAATGGTCTAACCCAAGAAGTTAAAAAAAAAAAAAACAATTAGACACAATCAAGCTTCTCAAAAGGTTATATCTCACAAATTTTCATCATGCAATAGTATCCTAGTTAATAATGCCCAAAATCAAAGGTGCAAACAATACAAAACACTTGATGAGTACCTAAGTGGGATGGGGAACCCTACCCCAAAGCTAGCTGTTGAGGTGGGAGAACCAACCCACTTATATACCCCATTAAGCATCTCATATTATTCAATGTGGGAGTTAGTATCACAGACTACCCAGTCTCCATCAATTGGCCCCCTATGGAAAGCCGACATCCTAGTGGCTGCACTTCACGACACTTAACTTGACCTCCCTCCAATCAAAACCTTCCATGAGTAGCCCTCTCCAGAACCGCCGACAATGAGGCTTTAAAACCA